GGGGTGGTGGTCCCTTGAGCGGGCCAAGGAGGCTGGTGCTTGGGGGAGCCGCTCTGATGCCATCCCCACAAAAGTGATTTTTGCCTGCCCCCACTGGAAGCCAAAGGACGCTGTTTTGTGCTAGATGTTGATTGTTTTCACATTCTTGATCGCCAAGATTCAGTTTTGCCTTGCCGAAGAGAAGCTTCGAGCTGACACTGTGCAGATTACACGTAAGCGTAGAGGAACTCAGCTGTGAAAGCCAGGAGTTGTAACATAAGGGCTCTCTATGCTCCTACTCTGGCGTGTCTAGCCATTTACTAAAACAAGCCCTTCATCAGTTTGTCTCTGTAGAGCTGAATGTCCCTTTTGGACCTGCCTTTCTCACCTGATACAGTATTGTAAGCAAAAGAACAAAGAACCCATTTCACTCCTTGACTTAGAAGCTCTTCCTGAACTGGCCCACCATGATTAACTGGGATTTATATAGAATAGATGTGGGAACTGATAATATTGTAGGATTATTGCATGTATTTCCCTCTGTTACATTAAATAAGCTTTTTAGAGGAAATCCACCTGCAGATGCCAAAAAGGCCTTTGCTCAGGTTGAGTAGTTGTTCATCTTTTCTACCCTTGAGATGATGGGATTCACTACTTGCCTAAGATTAATGTACCCAGCTAAAGCTGTCAAGATACTTATCAAGAGTTATGAATCGAAAAGCTTTGGGCAGAAACCAGGTACTAAGCAGGGCACTCCCTTATCTGCTTTATTGCTTGTTTTCTCTATGAACTCTGATGTAAGGACTTTGCTCCAGCAGTGTTGTATTACTGGTAAAGAAGGGAGGATATTAGGTTGCGCTCTATTCTGACAGCGAATTACATACTGCCGTTAAGTGTATGTTGCCCGCTATACGGTAACAATATTGTACTTTCTGGAGAATGAAATTCTCACCTTGGATCTTGCCTGGGTCCATGTAGAAGCTTTTGAAGAGAGCTTCACTCTCTTCCCGATACGACTTCAGTATCACATAACGGACTCTGTGTAACCAAAAATTATTTGTCCTTTTAAAATTAAAATTCCCTTAAAAAGATTTACATAACTGCAATAACCTAACTCTATTACAGGTTTCTTGGAAGATGCTGCTAAGATTCATCTTATCCCCCTTTTTAATTACTATTTTTCAAGATCTTAAAGTCCTTGTCCCAGTTACATCTTGTCGCAAAACCACCAGAGAATGATATATTAAAATTTATTCAGACAGGTGGCAGATATAAAAAGTAAAGCTAATAGCTCTATGAGAAAAGAAACCACAGGTGGTTTGGCAATTCAGAGCTCTTACTATTTGGTCACAGAGTTGCACTCAGTGGCTGATGGTGAGTATGAGCAGTGCACTACTGGCCAGCCCTGAGGAGCAGCTGTCTTGTTTGTCAGAGCTTTCCAGGCAGGGCTAGGGAGTGGGACACTCATGTAGTGGCACTAGGGCCAAGGGGTTAAAGAGGCCTTGAGGCTGGACTGGGTTGCGGTGGTGGATGAAGGCTGGGCAAACCATGGTAACTGCCTGGATACAGAGATCTATCTCTTTCTCTATACCAGAAGGGGAGGCTACAATGGTGTATCCTACACAGTTAGAATAGCAACAAAATCACACATATTCCATCCAAATGTACCCTTTTACTTCCATATTCTGTTGATATTTTGTGATAAAATAACGAGCCCATTTTATATAGTGATTAAAAGCATCATAAAAGAGTAAGGCGTCATGTCTCATTTTTATTCCCCATGTAAATGGCATCTATAATAAATCTGAAGTAATTTAGAAGCCTCTTTTCAATTTTTCTACACTGGTGCAAGTCTAACTCACATTGCCAGCATTCAGTGTCACTTTTGGCTGCATAAGTCAGCAGTAAAACAGTCCCACCCTCCCTCCTCCACAATGGCTGCTCATCCTTATCCCCATGTCACCCACTCCCTTTGTGCTGGCAAAATTGTTTGTGCAGCTGCAGAACGAACAGGCCTAGGGAACTGATCTGGCTGGGAAAAACAAATGATTTGGGGGCCAAGTTAAAATTAACTTGGATCAGTTCCCTGATCTGCTTCACTGTGTGGTTGTCCAAGTCCTTGTGCTCATCCTGTGCAGGGGCAGGAACGAGTGACTGAGGTGGGAGAAAGGATGAAATTTACCTTTTTGACAGTGTCGTCGTCTTCAGCCAGTTTAAAGTGGTTGTGAAACTGTGGTGTACGGAAACTTATCTGGCTTTTTTTAAGGAAGGGAAAGTTCTTTCACTTTGAGCACAACTGCATATGTGCAGAACATATGCAACATATGAATGTTCCTACATTCAGCATAGGAATAGGGCTCACTGGTGAATAAGGAAGGCTAGCAGAAAGACTGATAGGATTTAGGAACTCAGTGAGCTTATGGAATCACTTCATATTAAAAAGGCAGCTTTTGGATGCTGCATTATGTCATGAAAAGAAGAAAAAAACAACAGAAAACACTGCTGTTGTTCTGCTGTTCATGAGCTGACAGAGGCCAAAGAATTGTAAGGATCTCTGTCCAAAAATGTATAGTTAGCTCTTCAAAAGGCAGAATTGCGCTCAGTTGGCATTAAGAAGCCTATATGCTAGGGCACAGAGTATGCCTCCATTACTACGTCTTGCTCTTTCCAGTTCCAGAGTCTTCCTTTGCTCTTTGCTTAAGGTACTAAAGCAACTGAACTGAACAGTAGGTAAATCAGTATTTAATGCAATGGGCTGTTAGTGAGCTCTCAATAACAGATAGTCCTGAGAATAAATGTACATATATTGCATTAGTTTCTGTTTGCACTTTCAGGATGAAATTATCCTGTAGGTTTCAAATATCCTGGCAGTCACACAGAGTGTTGAAAAAGGTTGTCCATATGACAAGAGCATTAAGACCTATTTCAAGCTCCCCTATTTTCTTTCTTGAAAAAAAAATAGCCACGTTCTTGACCTACAAGTTGAGCATCTTTAAAAACAGCTCTGACTAAACTTGATACACTATTGCACAAGTCACATCTGTAAATCCTCATTATAAGTAAAAATTGCAAAGTCAAACACTTAAGAGTTGTGAAAGAGCAAAATAAATGCTGCTACATGCTATGTAAGTATTCAATTCAGGTGCATCTTGATACCTGTTTTTAACTGAGCACTCACATATGTTTCTTCCGCAAGATTCCTGTCTCATTCAATGAACAGAACAAATAGTGGTCAGATAACGGAGAGTGATTCTGTTTTCTCCCTTGTTTACTCCATGTCCCAAGGCCTTATTTATTGCACGCTATTCAAACCCTACTCTGAAGATTCAATTATTGACTTAATAACAGGCTTTAGGGTTCTCATCATTGTAGGGCCCAGCCAGTCCTGGTTATCCCTGTGAGCCTGAGTTTTTATTATCAAATCTATTTTGCTTTCTCCCCACTTTTCCTTCATTCTACCTGCTGACCACCATCTTGCTCTTTGGCTTCCCATGTAATCTCTTTTTTCCTCCCTACTAGCTTCCCATTCCCACAAATGCTTACTTTCTAAATTTTTGTCCTAAACTCACTACCTCGTAGTCTCAATTTTCCCCTGAGTTTTTTCTTTTCTTTCACCAGCCAGTTACTTCCATCTCCCCACGACTCAACACTCTTGTGGTCTCAGGCATGCTCAAAGCCCAGTTCTAGTTTCCATCTCATTTTCTTCAGCCCCAATCTAGTATCCCTCCCAACTCATTTTCCCACTCCATGCTCCTTGCATCTATTGCTTCTCCATTTGAATCAAATAGCTTTATCCTCCAAGTAACCTGACTGTTAGTATTCAGTTGTTGGGAAGATAGGAGAGACATTCTCCAGGCAAAATCAGACAAGTCTATAGGCACCGTAGGACTACTCTTCCAGGAAGAACTGAGGGTGGCTTACAGCTTGTAGCTCATCTCTTGACATAAAATTCATCTCTCCTTTCCCTGCCAAATTTCATTTTTCTTCCTGAATGGACAGAAGCACTAGAGCCTCCCTCCCTCCCTCTCTCTCTCTCTTTCTCAAAAAAAAAAAGTAATATTTTAAGCACTGACAAAAATATTTGTTATTTTTTATCTTGTTTTCAGAAACACCTGAACTGTTTCACTGACCTTTTCCACACTTATTCAGCCCTGAGGCACACACCTAGGATACTTGATGAAGTTCTAAACATGTACAATCAATACGGTCTCAATATGGGAGGTACAGGGCAACCTTAATTACAGGTGAAGATCTCAGTCTACTAATAATATAATTTAAAGAACTAAAACATGCTATGCATATCCAGAGATTCTGCTGTAGTAGAGGTGTCAGAGAGAAGAAGGAAAAAGACTCCATGACTTATCAACACTTAGGAAAATAATTTTCCAAATGTCTCAGTCAACAACTCTTTAAAAAATCAAAAAAGTACAATGTAAAAAGAAGGCACTTATGTGTGCCTCTTCAGACAATTAAAGTAGCTTTCAGTGTAAAGCATTTTACCTGGGTTTCTAAAAGGATCACCTTTACAGATAAGCATCAAATTTTCTGCATGGAGATCACCACAGAAAGCCCCCAGATAACTGCAAATAGCAAGAGAGCAGTACTGCCTTACTCTACCTGAAAACTTGCAGTCTGAAAGTGGCCTTACAGCCAACGTGCAGTTGGCTCAGCTTCTGCAATGTCCAGCCTCATCGTACGTGAGCCCTATAGTTCAGAGTTGCTTGTGTGCCTAAGGACTTCAACACCTAGAAGATGGCACTGATAGAGCATAGCACTCTCATTAAGCAAAGCACTTATCAGAGAGCAATGAGATGGAGGAGTATAACAATTTATGGCTTGCAGTAAGGCAATCTTGCACTGTGATCTCATCAAATCTTGAACAAAATAGGTCAAGCTTGGTCAGTGTTCAAATGAGATACACTCTAGGGAAAACACAGATACTGTAAGAAACGATGCTTTAAGATTCAGCTGACAGAACTGCTGAGGCATTGTTGCAAATCTAGGCCAGATTCCCAGATGTCTGAGGTACCCCAGGTAGGTCTCTGGACTGTCATATCTGAGGGCCGCTGGACTGCTGGGACCATATTTCTCACTTTTCAGATGAGAAATAAAATTACAGTTATGCCTTGTGAGTGATTAAATAAATCATGCTTCTTTTTGTTTGCAGACAAGGCATTCAGAGACAATGTAAATGCAGAAAAGAAGTTTGTTTGGCTCCTATAATCCTGATAGAACTTTCCTGCTCTCTCTTTTCAAAATCCTTCTTTAAAGCTTTTCAACACTAGGACACCAAAAGTGAGAAAATTAAATTGCTTTAGGGTGATAAACATCATAAATGCTTTCGAGCAAAACAAATGCAAAATAAAACAAATTATACAATCTATTTCTTTACAGATACATTCCTTTTCCTTTACATTCACACCACCTATCTATTCACATACCCACTTACCTACCCTCCCCTCAACTCATTTCCCCAGATAGTTGACTAGCATCAGTTGTCACTTCTAACGTGTTTCATTCTTACATTGACTTCAAGCTCCTCAGTTCAAATACTGTATCTTTTCTTTGCCCATAAAACATCATATGCATGTAAAATTGTTTGCATAACTGTGATGTTCCAAAAAACATGCAAAGTTTTATTCTAAAATAATTAAAGATAGTGACAGCTATGCTTCTTGGGGAATTAAGTAGTTAGAGTTAAAAGAGTGTAATTAACAAGAGGAAATTGAGCAAGGACACACACTCTTTTAACAAGAGGAAATTGAGCAAGGACACCAAACTGACCACAGTAGCTCAAGAGGAAAATGCTCATGAGAATTCTGACAATTGCAAGTGGTCAGGACACAGCTTTCCTATCTCAATCACAGTGTAACACCTCCTGTAGAGTGATCGCTAAGGCTGAAAATGAATTTACAAACCTTGCACTCTTTGCTTGTCCATGCTGTTTGGATGTATATTACCCTGTCAGTCTGAACAAAAAACAATTTCTAGATTTTTTAGGCTGAAAAACATTCAGATTTTATGTGCTTGCTTTGTTT